CAGCTGCTCAAAAAGCTAAGAAACAAGCTGACATTTAAAAGGTAAAAGTACAGTGTAGATTCAGCAAGCATGTGAGTTATACTGCAGTGTTTTTCCGCCATTTGTGATGACATTTTTATATGCTTGCTATCCGGCCACACAGGGAGTTGCATTGTATTCCATAAGCATACTGACTGCTACATTTGCACTTTGAGAAGGAGTAATAAAGCTGGAAAAAAACTGTGGAACCTGTGCATGTCACGTAAAAAAGTATGTCTGATCCTACACAGATATACAATTACAAATTATACAAAGAAACAAGGTTTTTAATGTATTCATACACAAAAAAAAGATTACTTACATCCAGATTATTATTTTTTATTTTTTTTTTACATACAGTATGTATCTTGGAACAAAAACCCAGAAAAACTCTACATTCCATTTAAGTATCACTTGTGTTCGTGTTTAAGTTGTATGTAGTGGTGCAGGATTTGATAGCAAACAAGGAGGCTCTACCTTTATTCTTGGTACAGATGTGACAGTGTGACAGACAAGCCACACACACAAAGTTTCCCCTCTTGGAGGTGGATTCTTCATATACTGTTGTGGATATTCAGTAGGGGATTAAACAGTGCATGCCCACATCATTTCCAGGTCACAAATTCCTTTAGTAAATAGAGAATCCACTCCGGAACAGAGGGCGCTTAACTGCTCTACCAGGATCATGGATATCAGTAAATACCTTCAAAAGGTACTGAACCCTTCCACACTTCAACTGGAATAGAAAATTGGTGAAGTCTACTTTAAAGTGCACCTGTCGTCCTATAAAAATGGCTACTTCCATTGTGGATGAAAATGTTTACCTTTATCTGGAGTGTACCTTTAAAATATTGGTAAGCTTTTGCGTATAAAAAAAACCAAAACACTCTTCTATTCAGTTTCAGAATCATAGTTTTAAAATACTTCTAGCATGGGTACCCCACACTTGTCTTATATTAACTTAATTTTCCATAACCTTCTGCTCTGACAGAGAGCCAACACTGTGAGCCAATCAGGCTCTAGTACATGACACAGTACTACCAATCTTAAGGTGCCCATACACTGTACGATTCTCGTACGAGAACCGCGGGAAATCCCGCGATCGTACGAGAATCGTGCAGTGTATGGAAGGCGTGCGGCCGTTTCTACTGTACAGTCGCACGTCTTCCGTCGAACAAGCAGGCTGGAAAACCCGCCGGGAACCGTACGATTCTCTGCGAATTAGTGGCCTGCTTTTTCGACAACTGCCGTACGGGCCGGTGTGCGCACGCGCACACTGCCCGTTTGCAGTCATCGGAAGCCCGCCCCTCATTACATTCATCGCAAGCCAGCCCCTCAGGGGGGCATGCTTGCGATGATGGCAAGTACGATCTGCCTGTCCAAGATGGGCAGATCGTACGTTTTTTTAAGTACTTTACAACCCTCACAAGACAAAAGTCTTGCAAGGGTTGTAAAGTGTATGGGCACCTTAACACTGAGAGCATGTGTACAGCATGGGAGAACATAGGGATGGGTGCTGTGCAGTATTTTTTCACTGTCCAATCAGCAAGTTGGAGCCATGGTAGTGAAGATCTGTATTGCTCATAATATATCATTTAGAAAAATGGGGTCAGCTACTTCATTTTACTATAAGGCAGGCCTGCATTCATTAGAAGACAGCATTACATATCTTTAGAAGGTAAACACAGGGCTACACTGGCAATTAAATCTCTTTACTAATGGGAGATTTACTTAATCAATGGCAGCCCTGGTACTTGGCACACTGAAATCAATGAGCTGCTAATTAGATAACTGCCACTGAGTAGCTGAATCTTTCAGTTGTAAAGATATTTACGCATTTAGATTTGAGCAACAAGTTCACTTTAGGGCCTAAATCACATCTATGCATTGCTGCAACACAAATTCTTTTGCAACGCATGGCAACAAACCATATATGCGTTTGAGGTCACTTATTTTCAATAGCAACCCAAAGCACTGCAGCAATACACCTGTGTTGCAGCATACCACAATGCACAGTACTGTGCATTGTAGTGCTCTGCATTACAAGAAAAATGGTATATGTCTGATTCAGGTCTATTGTTGTGTGTCTGCGGCCCATTCAAGGTGTGCCTATTAAATCGCACTGCAATGGACTCATGAAACGTGAATAGGTTCCTTAATGCAGACCTCCACAGATGCATATATTTACTTTCCTTTTGCCCTCCCCACCAGTACATTCAGTTGCTGAAAGGAAAGCCCTATGTAAGCCATGAATTGCCAGAGTGTAGTTTACACTCCCAATGTGACCACACGCGCTTCAATACCCCAAAATACCAGGCATTTCCTGGTTCCCGATACTAAAAGGAGTGATGGGGAAAGTATATGCTGTTGGAATACACGGATTAAAGCAAACCTGTTGCTTTGCCTTACATAGACAAAGCTCCGCTTTGCTTTAAGCAACTCACAGAAATACATTTTAGTGGGTTTAACTGCTTTCATTCATGTTAAAAAGTGCCTAATATCATCCAAAAATAGCCAAATATAAGAACTTGACATGTGACAATTAAGTTGACATTGTTGTGCTTTCCATTGTGTCTGGTATCTACACATTTAGGCAGATATATTCTTTGAGATTATTAGCTAAGGATGTGAGCTAGAGGCTGCACTAGAATTCCTCTTAACTTTGCCACCACTCAGTTTTGATAACATTCCTCAAATATTTTACTTAAGTATTTTTTACAAAAAACACATTTATACAAACCAATAAACTTGTAAAAAATATTTGTTCATTTAAAGAAAATTTCTTGAAATACTAGCTAAATCCGTATGCGCCAGAGATTAGATACCCAACAATATAGCAACACGTGCGTCATTAAATAAAAATGAAATCAATTGGCACTTAAATGGGTTTATAGAAGGAAGAGAGTCAAAAAAGCAGTCAACAATGCAATGATCTTCATTAGTGGTACGATAGGCAAACAGGAGGTCGGGCAGTGGCACAGAATGTTGTCACTGCCTTTAGACGATGCAGTCATTGTATAGAAGGGGATCACATGTTCTTACTTTTGGCAGCTAAAAAATATATAGTAAATCAGTTGTATATTTCTATATGCGTCTGGAGATGCTCTTTAACACCTATCCCTTTTACCGTATTATACATCCAGCCTTTTTTTTTTTTAAGCATATTTATACATATACCATGTATATTCTCACACAGTTACACAGTTACAATCACTGATTTATTTTCTATAGCAAACAGCTTGCATTTGCTATTTTGTAAGCCAGACATTCAAATAACATGTAAACCTTAAGGAAAATAAAGAAAATACTATCTGGGGTACTATCAGATCCACCAGGAATCTGAAAATAAAAATATATTAAAAAAACCCAATTGATTTAAAAAGCACCCAATTCTGACACATTCACCAAAGTGTATTCCAGAATATCCCAGAGGTTTTAGAATTAACCGTACCCAAAAAGAGAGTTTTAAATTGAGCTGGAGTAGAACGGCGTATGATCACCAACAGTGTCTTTACAGCTCTCAATGACCCTGACAGGAGATCTCCTAACCGGCAGGCTTTTTCAGGTGAACATTTTATGTCATCTGTCCAAGTGGATTTTCCGTATAATCCAATGTAGAGTCCACTTGAGCATGTAGAGAAAGACTCCAATAACATTACTTTGCACTGCTCCCTCTCGTATGGAGAACTTATGTTGCCAAATGATCTACCCAATATATACACACACACACACATTATATATATATATATATACATATATATATAATCCATGTACTCTATGCGTGAAGTAAGTGTCTGTGTGCTCATTCACAAAAATATCCGTACACATCCAAAAGTAGGTACAGAGGCACTAGGGATGCACTGATACCGTTTTTTTGTTATCGATTACCGATACTCCCGCTAGCATGGAGCTGGCTTCCTGGGTAATCAGGAAGCCGGGCGTCGTGTCATTACCTGCAGCCTAGCTTCTTGATTTCCTGGGAAGCCGGCTCCATGCTGTTTGGCTGGCTCAATGCTGATTGGTTCCCCCAAGGCACTGCCGGCCAGAGAAAATCTACCTCATACTGGAAGTTCCGGTATCGGAGCATTTGGGCGAGGACTCGGTATCGGTTCATCCCTAAGAGGCACTCACAGGTTTTCTAGCAGAGATAAGTCAAAGCATCAGCATTCTATTGTCAACGTTTTGATGGAGCTCAGTCTATGATAAAGTTGAACTGAACTCCATCAGCTTATCTCCACTACAAGACCTGTGAGTGGCGCTATATCTATCTTTCTATCTATCTATCTATCTATCTCTCATATATTGGCACATATCCTCCCAAAACAGAAGTTGCTCATAACACTGAAGTGTGACTGGATTTGGCATATGCCAGCTAAAAGGCATTACAAGAGATAACTAAAGAAGATTTGTGAAAACTTGGAGGTAATTATGGCTTCGGGGGAATGTCCTTTCTTAAAGATTTTAATTTAAAATCACTTGAAAGGCTATGTCCATGACTGAATGCACACCTAGACGTTCAGCAGTTTTGCTGCACAGGTGAATTTCCACAACACAGGGACAGTGAGTGGTACAGGTGGGTAGACCTGGGAGCTCCAATGTAGAGAGCTTTACCACTGAATTCTCAAAAATATTAGAAATCAGTAGGTGGACCAACTGGCACATTTCTTCCCCAAACTGAAAATATCAGAGTGAACAGGCTCTTACATTTTGAACATCTCAACAATTTAGGGACTGAATTTCAATAAACCATTTTCAAGAATTTCCATTATTTTGTAAACAATAAAAAGAACAAATGTCAAACTATTATTCAATGGTTGTAAATAGACATTACCTTTTTTTTTAAATCTGAAAGATAGAAGCTAAAATAAATACAAATACATTCATTATACAGTGATGGTGGAAGAGTATACATTTATAAAGAGAACATTTCAATCCCTTAGCTTCCGCCTTTCCCCTGTACTTGCAGATATCTATGGGGGGAAACATTGGTGTTTACTGAACTAAATACATAGTGGCATTAACATGATCTGGATGAGATTCTGGTGCTACCAGCTCCCACAAGGTCACGTAGGTTCCAAATAAAAATCCCAGAAAGCCCACCAGGCTGATGAAAATGTCCTTGGCTATGGTCCAGCGGCTGAGACCTTCAGAGTAATACGTGAGGATCTCTAGAAGAGGTGGGATTATGAGAGCCAGAGCACTGCTACTTACAGATCCCACCAGTGAGATAACAATGTCCAAGCGAGGAATGAGGATGGCCAGAACACCTGTCAAAAGATAGAATTCATTATCAAATATCTGGCATGTAACTACACGCAATCTGTTCTAAAATAAGGTCATTTTGTGCACCTCGTGTTTTTAGCATCTTCAAAAGCTAAAATATCAGTTTTGGGTAAAATGACCATTTAATATTTTGCTGCAATATTTTATATTTAGTATTTTTCACATGTACTTTATAGCATGTCTGTCCTTAGAAGACACTTCCCATGACTAGCATTGAAAAACTTTCTTGCGCTCTAATGTCTCTGATATGGCTACCAGCGAACAGAGATTGGAAACACCTCCAAGTTGCATTATCCACAAGGCAACCTAAGCAGGAGTCTAGAGCCGGTCGATGCCATGGGGGCCCAGCTACAACCTCCATGCTACTGCAGTAACCCAGGAGAATAGAGAAATTTGTACAAGAAGTGCACACAGGGAAGACTTATTTGTAGGTAGTTGGTGTCTGATGGGGCATGCCAGTACATTGAAGCAATCGGGTCATAAAGCTAATACCTTCCCAGGGGCACCTAATCTGCCTTATTCCTTCTCTGCTCTATCTATCTGATCCTTTATGAGTGAATGGAGGGAGCACCTTCCGATGTTTTTTTTTTTTACCTCTCATGCGGGTCATGTACGTGAGCAATGTTCTAGCAAATCCACATGCTTTTAGACAGTTTTCCGAAATTATATATATATGAGCCAATGTGTGAACACCTACACGTGTATATTATTTTTTATTACAGGTATTTATATAGCGCAGACAATTTATGCAGCGTTTTACATAGTTGCACATTTACATCAGTCGTATGCACAGATATGAGTCACCTGTACAAATACTTGAATTTATGGCTAAGAAAGTCTAATGCTTCATAAAAAAAATGAATATGTCTATAATGGAGGCTACATGGAATTTGTCTTATAAATTGGTAAAACTATCATTTGAATGCACACAATGATAGTAAATGAGATCAGTTACTCGTGTCCACAGTTTATATTCTATACAGTGTGTACATATGTAAGAAATGTGGATTTTACTGTACACAAATACTCAAGCAACACACACAAATATGAAGGCTGCCACACTAAAGTCTTTGGCCTCAACATTTTCTAAAACATTATTCAGAAACAAGCATACAGCCAGTAAAGTTAGAAGTCCCAGTCTGCAGCCTTGTTCTAGGTCGAAGTGTTGAAGCTGTCAGATCAGCAAACTAGCCAGGCAACTAATATTTTCAGGAGTAGAAATGAGTGATAGCAGCATTTCCCTCAGTACAGGAACAGGCACAAGCAGATCTTATCCAACCATAATAACAGGCTTAAATGTCTTAAATGTTACATTGTATTTCTTCCATACACAGCTAAATATAATCAGGCTCTGAGGCTTCAGTGTAAGCAGTGACTTTTATACTATATAAAGGACATTATTCATCATTTTATGTTTACAGGAGGAAAAAAACACAACAGGAAAAAATAAACCAGGTCCTGACATGAAATCCTCATAATCTAAATGTCCCACCGGGAGTCAGGAAGTAATCAAGTGAAGTGGGCTTAGCCGGTAATGCACAGGGTGAGGAAAAAACCTGCCTCTACCTAATGGATAGAGGTGGTGGTGGTCAATGCCTGGACCAGCTGGAGGACAAGTCCCTATAGAATAACACTTCTCTATAATCAAGGTATACAGCTTGCAATCAGTTAATGCAGAACCTGGCAGTATTAAGAGTCGACACCTGAACTGGGGGGAGAATTTTAGGATTGCCGGTTTTAATGCATACTAAAATAAAAAGATTGTACTAGATTATAAGAAAATGAATGAATTAACAAATGATGCTTCTCTGATATCCTGAAGGCACCATGTGGTTCTCCAGCGCTATTACTGCAAACTTATTTTCATGATAAAAGTTGCTCACAAACATCTATGAAGATAAAGCTGGGGATGAAATCATAACCTGACCTGTGCAGATTACTAAGAATTTTTACTGGCATACTTGAAACTGAACTATAGTATTACCTTCAGTCTTGCACAGTTGTACAGACGCCTCTCATACTAAAAGTTGCACACTGTGAGCTTCTCAGCCTATGCTGAAAACTTACCTTCCTGCACAGCCCTTCTAGTGAATATGTCCCTACTAACTCATCTTCTTAGTGCATGCACTGTGGTTCCATTCATTCCCATTAGTGAGTTATAATCCAGCCGCCCAATAGAATATGACTCACACACACACTCCAAACTAATTTTTTTTTTTTTTTTAAGGTCCAACCAGTCTCCCTGCCTTACCAGAACTGGAGTGGATCCTCAGCCTGGGGTCCATTGTGGGCTGCTATGCTGTAATGAAGCTCCATTCATATGTGCATTGCTTGTACAGCTCCCATGCGTGACCATAGAGGTGCTGGGAGCCATAATGTGATGTCACTCTGGTCCAGGCACCACCTACAGGACACATGAGGGAGCTGTAAGCAATGCATGCATGGGTGAAGCTCCCTCGCGGCCATAGCCCCAACCCAAGCTGACACTCGGTGCTGGGCAGCATATTTTGAATGGCTGCTTGGCAGGAGTAGTGACTGTGCTGCGCTAGGAGGAGGCAGAGGAGCCTCTTACCTAGAAAAGTGGAAGGCATGCGGCGACCACTGAACAAGGTCGCGTGACCCACTTTTGGGTCACGACCCACCAGTCGAGAACCAGGGTTCTAGACGGAGTACAACTGGAGTGGTCAATAAAGGAGAAGGATCTGGGCGTTCAGGAGGAAGAGGAGGAGGAAGAGGAGGAGGAAGAGGAGGAGGAAGAGGAGGAGGAAGAGGAGGAGGAGATCAGGAATGATGCTCTCTTGAGTATATGAAGTGGCTCAGATTAGGAATGTGGAAGGTGAAGCCACATGGCCTGCATGCAGATGTTAAAGGTTAGTTTAGAATAAAATGTCACTTGCTCCTACAGCCTAACTTTTGAGTTGAGAAAGAGGGACACATCCCAGCACAATGTATTTAGGCAATGGATGCACACCTTATATCCAGTAACTAAAGAAAGAGGAGGAGGAGGAAGAGGAGGAGGAGGAAGAGGAGGAGGAGATCCTCACGGAGCATATGTTTTCTACTTGATTTTGTATTGTATTTGTAAAATTATGCTGATTTTTGGAGAAGCTTCTGCAACCTATTGTTTGTTATCTAGCTGGAGGATAAGGGTGTGTGGACTAAACATTCAATAAGATCCCCTCCACACAGGTGGTCTTCCTGCGAGTGTGTCAAAGACTGTGGTAAGACAAAGGAGACATTCTATGTGTAGATTTTATTTTTAGCTCAGTCTTGCATACTACAGATTTGAAAAATGTGCTATGGGATCGTCAGCTAATAGTTTGTAAACAAATATGTAAATTTTGGTCTGGAATCTAACTCCTGTTTTGTGATCCTTGGCGGCACAAAATATAACTTCCTAATAACATATCATGGTAATTACTAGGGATGCACCACTACCAGTTTTTCCGTATAGTGTACGGAGTACCGATATTTTTTCCGGTACTCGCCAAAACTGAATACCGATACCGGAAGTCCCATTAAGGAAGCCAGGCGGCGTGTAATGACTCGCTGCCCAGCTTCCCGATTAGCCAGGAACCCGGCTGGCATGTAATGACTCGCCGCCCAGTTTCCTGAGTAGCCAGGCGGCATGTAATGACTCACCCCTTGGCTTCCTGGCTACTCGTGAAGCCGGCTCCATTGCTCCTTCGCCACCAGGTGACGAGGAAGCATGGAGCCGGCTTTCTGGCCAATCAGGAGGCTGAGGGCGGGTAATGACTCGCCACCTGGCTTCCAGATTGTCCAGGTTCTTGACCAATCAGGAAGCCAGGCAGGAAATCTTTCACTTTTGCGGAGTCCGTAAGCAGTCCAACTGAGGGGTGTGTAATACAGCAAACAAAAACTAAGAGGCCCAAGAAAACAACCATTGGGGACTGCCTGCAGCTCAAAGATCCACCTGAAAGCCCTTTCACCAGAAGCTGACATCAGGAAAGGAGTGTGTTACTAGAAGGACAGGATGTGTGTTCATGGCAGGATCAAATGGTGAAAATAAAAGGGAAACATTCTGCAAAAAAACCCAAAAACTAATGTATCCACTACATCTGGACTTCATTAAATTACTTTTTTTGTGTTTAGATGCACCTTAAAAAGTGGGGATGCACCTTCATGTCAAAAAAAGCCTGTCTGAGGATTTGGCAGAGTGAGAGACCTTGCGTGTAGACAGGGAACCAAGCTTAGGGGGTTTTAACATGCAGGGTGCAGGACTGGAGGAAAAAAAAAAAAAAAAGGGGACAAATAAACTATGAGGTGAGTGCTTTTCACTCACCTCATAGTTCTAGCCGACCTGTGACAATGAGACTGTCACAGGTCGGCTCAGTAGATCGGGAGGTGAGCGAACACATACCGGCGTTCGCTCACCTCTCGATCCTGTCACGGCTCTCAGCCGTGACAGGGGAGGGGCTGGATTCCCCAATCCCCGCTCCGATACGCAAGTGCTGACTGGCGGATCGGACGGGGGAGGGGGCGGGTACAGCTGGCTCTGCCTTTAGATAGCAGAGCCAGCTGTCAGTCACGCAGCTGGGCGGATCCCGGCACAATTGTCGGGATCCGCTTCAGCTGTGGCGTCTCAGTATACCGAGCCTAGGGTGACGGGAGGACGCTAGTTTGTGTCCTCCCGTTACCCTAAGGAGAACTATGGGGAAAAGACTTAACCCCATAGTTCTTCTTTAAGCTTCTTCCGCAGAGGAAGATGGGTGCTTTAGCCACCAGTAGAATCCTTGATAACAGTATCAAGAGTTGATCCGAAGAGACTCTGTCTCTTGAGGGCCATACAGATCAAACTAAAGTGCCCTACACATGTGCATTTACAGGAGACCTATGCAAGAGATAAGTCAGGAAGCTACAGGACAGACCGTCACATATAAAATATAAAGCTACAGCAGTTAAGAGATACCTTAAGAGATAACTTTTAAAGGATTTTGTCCAGTCAGCCATGGTTTAGCAAAAT